ATAGTCTTCATGACTGCTGCAACCTGCATCAGGAGCTGAGCGGTGCGATCTTCAGCGCCGCCCCCTGTGCGCAGATAAGCATTGGCCCAAGGGATACCTGAATCAACAACCCCATGCCATAGCTTCAGGATAAATCTCTCTGGAGGGGGCAAGACACCAATCGGATCCAATACCACTTCAGAGAAGGGCCTGGCGTAGTGCGAGACAAGACCCACCCCCGAGCTCAAGCCGCCTTTCTGAGTACTGACTGAAGGGTGAAGGTGCGCATGGAACCCATGCTTATGCGCACGGTCGACAGCGAACTCGATAGCCTCTTCTGACCAACAGAGTTCTTGAAACCCAACAGCATCAAACCGATCAGGATAAGCCTCCAGGAAAATACCGGCATTAGACCAGGGGGTAACATTCACAGCGACGACGACCCAATCCCGACGAGGCTTCTTCACGAGCTGGCTTGTCGGGACTGGGTCGCCGATGTACTAAAGGCCAGACGGGCCCTTGGCTTTGGAGCCCTGGAGGCTCTCTGCCGCTGCTGGGGCGTCGGCGGGGGCAGAGGCGGCGGCAGCCAACGGCGTACTACTTCCTGACTGTCCCGATGGATCAACAGCGACATCAGGGGCGTGCGCAGGACGTTTCGGCGCAGGTGGGAATGAGGAAGAAGAGCGGGGAGGGGCCCTAGCAACACGTGTTGGGACCCCCTGCTGGTCGACAGACATCCTGGGCTCCTCCGACTGGGACCGAGGTTCGCTGGCAAAAACAACAGGAACATAACCAGACATAACGATACCCTGAAGGTCACGTAACGCCTGAGCAAGCTTCTTGTCTCTCTGAACTGCCTGGGAAGCTGCGAAGACGTCCGCAACGGCTGACAGATCTGGGGGTGCGTCACCCTCGGGACCTGGCTCACTCGAAGGAAGATCCTGCATAATAGACTGCCACGTAGCCATATCCTGGGCGACGCGCTCCTGACGGGCACAGAGGGCATCCCTGTCACTCTGAAGGTCCAGAATCTTGCGGTCGAACTCACGAATCTGACTAGAGATCTTGTCAAACTTCTTACTGACCACATGGTGACGCTGCTTATGGAACGCACGCTTCTGGGGAACTGTAAGCATGTCAAACTTCTGCGCACGAAGATGCTGCAACTCATCCTGGAGACCCAAGACCTGATCCCGAACGTACTTGGTTGGTGGAAGCAAGCGAAGGGACTCCAACTGGCCCTGCAAGGCCTTGATAATATGATCAACCTGCGTAACCGAGAGTTCATTGCCATTCGTGTCGACACAGCCGCCATCAGCATCAATTTCGTCGTCAACATACTCGGCCCAAAAAACCACGATCACTGCCAAGACCGTCGTCGCCAGAATCATCGCCGAATCTATCCTGCACCTCCTCTTCCAATGGAGCCTGAAGACATTCATCCAAAGACCGAACTGGGGGAGAGGCAGTACCGTCACACACATGACGATCATGAGCACGAGCACGGGGGGGAGACAAGACACGATCACTGCCTTTGCTCCTGCCTTTGCCGTCTTTGTCGCCCTTGCGACCATATTTTCCTGAACCCTGTCCTCTGGAGCGGCCAGGAAAGGGGTGTTACAGAACTTGCACTTCTGGCGGGGGTTGGTGTCGGGGATCCAAGAAGTCTTGCCAGCATCGCGACAGACGGGACAAACCAGATATCCCATGACTCCCGCGCGCGCGGGAAACAGGCTCACTCTTCAGGGCGCCCGCACACGGGGCGAGCAGCCTCAAAAGCAGGATCACACGCCGAAATCTCCCGAGCCTGCCGCACGGCTGCGGACAAGCTCGAAGCCTCGCGGCAAGGTTTCGAACTTGAGCCAAAATGGCTACGGATGGAGCCGTGGACAAGCTCCGCGGGGGGTGAGGGACGCCGTTCCCGACGCCATTCAGTGCTCGGGGCCCGGGGAGGGTTCGCTGTCGGGAGACGTGCACAAGGGAAAGGGGGGGGGAAGCTATTCCCGACGCCATTCAGTGCTCGGGACCCGGGCGGGGGGTCGCTGCTCGGGAGCCGTGGACAGGGGGGGGGGAGGGGGGGGGGGGGGACGCCATGTCCGACGCCATTCAGCGCTCGGGACCCAGGGGGGGTCGCTGCTCGGGAGCCGCGGACAGGCGGGGAGGGCGGAAGGGGACGCCATCTTCTACGAAATTCAATACTCGGGACCTGGGAAAGGGGCTTGCTGCTCGGGAGCCGTGGACACGGGGGGGGAATGCCATTTCCGTTTCCGACGCCAGTCAGTGCTCGGGACCGGGGGGGGCGGTCGCTGCTGGGGAGCCGTGGATAGCGGGGAGGAGGGGGGGGCACGCCAATCCGACGCCATTCAGTGCTCGGGACCCGGGAGAAGGGGATCGCTGCTCGGGGGCCGTGGACAGGGGGACAGGGGGGAGGGGGGGCGCCGTTTCCGACGCCTTTCAGTTTTCGGGACCGGGGGGGAGGGGTCGCTGCTCGGGAGCCGTCCGTGGAAAAGGAAGGAGGGGGGAGGGAACGCCGTGTCCGACGCCATTCACTGCTCGGGACCCGGGGTGGGGGGGTCGCTGCTTGGGAGCCGGGGACAGATGGGGAGGGTTATTTCCGACGCCATTCAGTGCTCGGGACCCGGGGGGGGGATTCGCTGCTCGCTCGGGAGGGAGCCGTGGACAAGGAAAGGGGGGGGGGGCGGCGTGAGCTGAGAGGGGGGGGGTCTGCAGGCGGGGGGAGAAGGGGGGGGAGGGGGGGGGCGACGTTCCCGACGCCATTCAATGTTCGGGACCCGGGGGTGGTGCGTTCGCTCGGGAGCCGTGGACGGGGGGGAAGCGGGGGGCACGCCATTCCCGACGCCATTCAGTGCTCCGCCGACGCCAGTGAATGCTCGGGAGCCGAGGGGGGGGAGTCGCTCTGCAAGGGGGCGGCGGGGGGGCATGCCCGACGCCATCCAGTGCTCGGGAACTGTGGACTTGAGAGCTCTGCATGGGGGCGGGGGGAGGGGGGGGATGCCATTTCCGACGACATTCAATGCTCGGCAACGGGAAGAGCGTTTTCTCAGCAGGGGAGGGGAGGGCGCTTGCCATTCCCAACGCCACCCCGCGCTCAAGAACGGGAGGGGAAGGAGGGGGTCGCTCTGCAGAGGGAAGGGTGAAGGGGTGGACGCCATTTTCGCCGCCATGCAGCGCAGCGCAAGGGCCCCAGACGCCCCCTGGAGGCCAGAACCAGCCCCCCCCAGAGCCCGCAAGAGAATCCATGACGCCCTCAAGAGGCCCGAAACGAGGCCCAAGAAACCCCCAAACGAACCCCAAAACGCATTCCGAGCTCCCTTGTTCAACCCACTGAGCCTCGGTCCTCAAGGCAGCGGCTCCTTCGCGGGCTCGGACCCCAAACTTTCAAATCTCTCGGGCCGTTCCGCGCGCCCTCTGGGACCCTTGAAATACTCCCGCACGCCGCAGAACTTTGTCCAGCCTGAGGAGGGCCCAAGACAGGCCAACAGGGCCAGAAGAGGCCCTCAGAACGACCCGCAACGGCCCCGAATCACTGAAAGATCGGTCCGAGACGCCCAAGATGGCCCGAGTTCGAGACTCCCCAAGAGCCCCACGACCTCCCCAAGAAAGCTCCGAGAGGCAACCACCCTTCAATTTCTCATAACTGTTCAATGTGTGTCTGTGTGTGCGTGGGCAAGGGGTTATTTCCTTTCACGCTCTCTGCTCTCACTTTGACGTCATCCAGTCCGCACCCCTCGTTGACGGCAACAGCCGCAGCGGCAGCGACAATTGCGATGGTAACACAGCACAGGCTCACACGGACCAGTGACCACCCTGCGGACGGCAACAGAGCTTCGAATGCGTGAAGGAGGCCCGCCGTAGGAACAATCGACAAGTTTGGAAAATAAAAGACGATGGGTGGATCAGGAAACAGGGCATGGAAGACTCCTGACACCCAGCGGCTCGATTTCTGAAAGTGGGCCACTGGACGTCTCGCCGTTTCCCCGAGGTCGTCATCGCCATCTGCATGCTATTCACCATGGTCAGTAACATGAACAACATCATCGAGATCATCATCATCACGCTCATCAGTATTATCATGAACGCCACCATCATCACCATCATCGCCACCATCACCATCATCATCATCATCATCATCATCATCATCATCATCATCATCATCATCATCATCATCACCATCACCATCACCACCATCACAATCACCATCACCATCATCATCATCATCATCATCATCATCATCATCATCATCATCATCATCATCGGCAACATCGGCAACATCAACATCATCAGCATCATCATCATCATCAACAACATCATCAGCATCATCAGCAGCATCATCAGCAATACATCAGCATCATCATCCTCATAATCATCATCACCATCAACCGCCATCACCATCATCAGCATCATCACCATCATTAACACCATCATCATCATAATCATCATCAACATCATAATCACCATAAGCATCATCATCAGCAATATCAGCATCAGCATCAGCATCAGCATCAGCATCAGCAACAGCATCAGCATCAGCATCAGCATCAGCATCAGCATCAGCATCAGCATCAGCATCATCATCATCATCATCATCATCATCATCATCATCATCATCATCATCATCATCATCATCATCATCATCATCATCATCATCATCATCATCATCGTGATCATGGCTATCCGGAGCGCCCCGGATCGGCGGCACTGGCCGGGCCAACACAATATAAACAAAACCACCATTAAGCTCGAGGCCTGCCGCACGTGGGGAAACCAAAAGGTACTGATACCGCTACTCCCCGGACCTGTCCCAAGGTGCGTTCTGACCAGAATTTCGAGGCGAGTCCAGCGGTGGCGACGAGGGCCTCCCAGGAGGCCCAAAAAGAGGAACACGAGGGAAATGTAGCGGTCTGGGTACCTGTCCCTCCTCCGAGCTCAGCTCGAGGCCTGGCGTGCGGCTTCTCGCTCGCTCGCTCTTAGCCGAGGGCCGCCGAGGGCCGCGGCAGCGCCTCCGCCTCCGCGGCCGCGGAGGCCGCCGCCGCGGCCGACTCCGCGGCGCGTTGTAGCTCTCCCTCCCTCGCGGCGAGCTCGCCGCGGCAGGCGGCGAGGCTCCCTCGCGGCGGGTTGGCGGATGTGCGCGGCGGCCGCCGCTGGCCGCCACCGCCTCCTGCTCCCCTCTTCCCCTCCTCCCCTCCTCCTCTTGATGTCCTCCCCACCTACCTCCTCTTCCTCCCCCATCCCCTACCGTTCCCCCGCCTCTACTCCTCCTCTCTCCTCTCCTCCTCCTCCTCCTCCTCCATGCATCTCCTCCTCCTCCTCCTCCTCCCCTCCCCCTCTCCTCCTCCTCGTCCTCCTCCTCCTCCTCCTCCTCACTCCTCCTCCCCCTCCTCCTCCTCCTCCTCCTCCTCCTCCTCATCCTCCTCCTCCGCCTCCTCCTCCTCCTCCTCCTCCTCCTCCTCCTCCTCCTCCACCCGTCGCCGCCGTGAGTTCCTGCTGGACGCCGTCGCCGTCGTGGTCGGCGCAGTCTTCCAAAAACGCCGCGTCGCAATCGGCGTCGCCGACACTGGAGGCGCGTCGCAGCAGCCCTCACCGACAGACGCCGTCGCCGCTGTACTCGGCGTCGTCAGCATCCAACTCAGCGTCGTCGCAATCGGCGTCGCCGTCATGGGAGTCGCCGTCGCCGTCATCGGAATCGCCGTCGTTGTCGTCGCAGGTTGGACTGATGGGGAGAGAAGAGGAAAAGGGTGAGAGGCGGCCGGGGGGTATCGGCCAAAGAGGGGGATCGGGGCAAATCCGTTCAAAATTAGTCCCCGGATCCCTCCTGGGATCCCTCCCGGTGCAAGTTGCCACCCCAGATCCGGGGCCCGAGAGCTTGCTCCAGAGGCACAACAGGTGACAAACACCCTTCTAGAACCCAGAACCTCGCCCCCCCTTCCTGCCTCAGAACCAGAGATGGACCACCTCAGACACCCAGCCGCCTCCAACAAGGGTGGGCGGCAAGATCAGGCGAGCGAGCAAGGGAGGAGGAG